CTTTTTTATTTTCATTTCATTTATGTTTTCTCACATTTATTTTCTTTCTTTATTTTTTTCTTATTTTTCTCACTTTTTTATCAAACTGGTTTTTATTTTGTTATTTTCTTGGTCGACAGAGAATTAGCTAAATCTCAATCAATTTGAGAGCCGTGGATTCCGGACATCAGGTTTTTTTGTGGTTGACGCTAGGAGAAAAGGTTCCGAGCAAGACTTTCATTTTGCAACATTGTTACAAGGTGGCTCTAAGTAAATAATTGTAAGCTGGGAGAAATTATGAAACAACAGTGAGAAGGTCGAGATTGAGCATCTCAATTGATGCCGACGATGAAGCTGAAGATGGGCAGCGCCGGGTCGGCAATATCCGGGACCCTGTGCCAAACTTTGAACTGGGGCCCATCTTTTGGTGGCGGAGCTACAAAGAAAAATAAATAGGTGGACTAAACTAAATGAGAGACCTGATTATTTTTCTGAAATCGTATATAGTAGTATTTCAGTAATTTGCAAAAATAATAGTATTTCAGTAGAAATATTAAATACTCAGTACCTTTTGTTCTATTGATTACGAGATCAGCATATTCGTCCTTGCAACAATGCAAGCTCGTGGGTGCTTAGGAAAACAGAAGAGAACAGAGGGTTAAAGCCAACCTTGGTACACTGAAATCACTAGATGAAAGACAGCAAACAATTTGATAAATGGCAGTAAAATAGCAGGGAAAGTACACCGAAATTTGGAGAGCACTAGGACATGGGCCCGTGCGTTGCAACGGGAGAAAAAAAAATTACTCCCTCTGTCCATAATATAAGAATGAGACTGAGTAGTATCACACACCCTTTTCCCATTCCTTACCCTACCCGATCCTTATCGTCAGAAAGAACACAGGCACCACAAGTTCAGCAAATTTTCCAGCCTCTACATGATTTCTATTGCATTGTCTCAGCCCATGATCTCTAGTGTACACCACAAGTTCAGCAAATTTTCCAGACATGATTTCTATTGTTAATTATATAGGATTTGTGGAATATTGACATGTATTATCTTCTGCATTAATGTGCGTCTGCGTGTGTCACAGAAATAATAATCGGAGAGAATTAAAATAACAATTCGATAAGAAAAAGATTGGGTAAACTTGACAGCTGGGGTCCATGGTAGAATGAGAACCGTGTAACTAAGAAATATGGCTCAAGTACCACTTTCAGATACCTGTATGGCCAATAGTTGTCAAATCTTACTACCTTATCTAACAATCAATACATATACAATCTGGAAGTTAAATATATGGAAAAACATCTGTAATTTAAGCTATATGTAAACATCAAAGGGAACTGTATGTATTTTGTGGTGTTGCTGGAGAGGATGTTCAGTGGCAGACCACCCCAATTACTGGTAGGCTTTCAGTCCCTACAGCACACAATCAAGTCAAGAGGAGTGCTCATGGATGCATGTCACGATTTTTATTCTTGAAAAAATGTTATGAAGCATGGACAATAAAGTAGGGAACGCGGCGCCACCATGAGGATGCTGTTCCTTCAGTTGTCAGGCCCACCAATGCAAAATCTGCTTCAATCTATACTAAGCAAACAGTACACTGCCGAATCAAACATCGTCACATTTATTCAGTAATTGGCCTAGAAGATATATGCTAGATTGCAGCATAATCTCTAGTGTATTTGCCAACATCATGTCCAGCCACAGTGCATGTAAAAAATCAAACAATACAGAAAACAACCTACTGCTCAGTTACCATCTCTCTAAATAAATCTCTGAAGAACAAAAGCTTGAGGGAAGGGGCAACAACAGGGCAGTTCCTTCAGTTGTCAGCCCCACCAATGCATAAGCTGCTTCAATCTATACTAAGCAATCAGTATACTGCCGAATCAACCATGGTCAGATTTATTCAGTAATTGGCCTAGAAGATATACACTGCCAACATCATGTCCAGCCACAGTGCATGCAAAAAATCAAACAATACAGATACTCTGAACACACAAAAGCTTGAGGGAAGGGGCAACAGCAGGGCTGTTTTTGAGGGAGGTCGAGGCATCACATACCTGTGTTGTAGCCACCGTTGGACTCAGAGTGCTTCTCTGGACCAAGAATTCCGGCGAACACGGTGCCGGTTCCTCCGGCGTACTCAAAGGCGAACTCGGTGCCGGTTCCTCCGGCGTACTCAAAGGCGAACTCGGTGCCTGTTCCTCCAGCGTACTCAAAGGCGACATGATGCGGAGCATAAGCGACGGTGCACTACTCGCTGGTGGCGCTGGCCTGGTTCATGATTCGGGCCAAGAACAATTCAACTTATAGCAGCGAACTCCAATCCGGGTCGGGACGGTTTCTTTGTTTGAGAAGGAGACCTGAGCAGGAGTTTGAGAAGGACAAGGGAGCAGGATTTCCGTCAGAAATTCAAATAAAACACGGGAGCAAAAATTCGTCATGGACTCCATCCTCCCGCGCGAGGCGCCACCCGAGCCGCCTTCCGCCCCTTACCGCTGGCGACGGCGAGCGCGGAGCTGGCCTTGACGGCGAGGGCGGCCATCTACTGCCCGGAGAGCGGCCGGCGGAGCATGGACATGGGCAGCGCGAAGTAGAGCCACCCGGGCTGCAGCGCCTCCTCGGCCGCCAGCGCACGGGCGGGCGCGTCGAAGCGGAGCTCGTCGGCGCTGCACAGGAAGCTCGACGCGCTGGCGGCGTCCCCCAGCGCCTCGCCCGCCATGACGGGCGCCGCGAACTGCACCAAAGAGCCGTCTGGGCCGACCACCTTCGCCGTGGCCACACGCCGGCGACGGCCGTCGACGGCGCACGACGGAATGGGCGTAGCCGCCGCCGTTGCCGCAGGAGGAATGGATAAGATGACGGGAGGACAGCGAGTGAAATTCAAATGAGTACAGGGTTTTTTTTGCAAAATGAAACGTTATATAGAGACCCATACTAAAACAGGGACTGCGGGTTGATTTTTTATAAACCGAGGGGCTTTTTCGCAAAACGCCAGCGACGACGGACGACCAGAAGCACTCCGTGCTTTATTAGTAGGGAAAGATATAAACTAAAATTTAGACAGTCTATCTACGCACTGAAATTTGGATAACTAACACCAACTCTGAATTTTTGGACAACAAAACACTAAGATTTGGACAGCACATACAATGAATTTTTGGACAACAAAACACTGAAATTTGGACAGTACATAAACATAATTTGCATTGCAAGAGAAATAAATTTTGGACACCGTCAACAATACTGAATCACTGTGCTACTCGTACGTCATCAACAAGACTGAATCAATGCCAAGAATGAACTGACCAGGCGGAGGGGATCCAAGTGGCCCGTCGCAATGATTCCAGGTTCTTAAGAAGAAGATGTATCCCCCTCCGCGGCGGAGAGACAGCCCGACGAACCGCGCCAGCTCCATGGGCTTCTTGGCGGGCTCGCGCAGCAGATCCTTGTCTTCTTGTACCCTATGGTGGTGGAACGCCCGTGCGGCAGTGGAACGTGCTTGCGTTCCAAAAGTTAATTAGGAATTAGAAGTAGGAGTCGAGGTTAATTAAAAAGAAGGATTAGCCAGCCGGAGGCTACCTATTTTGGCGAGAGGAACTGATGAACTATCGCCGTGTCGCCCGTCGCCGGCGCTCCGGAGTCTGGGTACGATTGATTATGTTTTGGTGAGAGGCGTCGCCGACTCGCCGTGTCGCCCGTCGCCAGAGGCAGGATTCATGTAGGCTGTAGCGCCGCGAGTGGCTTTCGCAATGGATCCGAGGATCTCGTTTCCGATCGAGCAGCGGCCTGCGGACGCTCGACGCTTGGACTCGCGCGGACGCGCTAGCGGCCCAGCGCCCAGGAACGGGGGGCCTATACAAAAATTTGGGGCCCCTAAAATTTATGGGCCCGGCCCTGAAGATGGGTCTCCACTGCTAGCTAGCTCTCGGGCAATAAATTGTGAAGGAGAGAAAGAAGAATGGTGGAGTTGATGGCTACAAAGATGATCGTGACAAAATGCTAGTGATTGATGAGCGCGGACGTTTCCATTCATATATTTTTCAAACAATAAAAACTGATCACATGCACGTGCTCGGGTGTATAAATTATTGGCGCCGTCTCATCGCAGCGCCGCTTCTTCTTCCTCGGAGCTCCACAACTCTATCCTCTCTCTTTGTCTCTCTCAAGAACACATGAGAACACACACGCAAGCACACATTCATCAAGTAGAAAATTAGCTTTGCCTTATCTCTCCCGGTGACAATCACAGGCGCTACATGGTTTCCTTCAGCCCTCACGGCCACTTTCCATTGCTCAATGTGACATATATATACACAGAAGGGCACACAGCCAGCCATCACGTCCGGCCATCACGTCTAGCCACTACTCCAACTAACTCTATGCATAATGCTAATGCCATCCACTCCTATCCATGCGCCACCAACACACGGTCAAGAGCCACCGGCTTGGACTCATTCCATGCAATCTACACTGACTCATCCATGCACTAACTAACTAACCGAGTCACCTGACTAGCTAGTACCGTACTGAACATCACCTAACGTGGTTTACTTTAACATAAAGTTCATGTCCCACGGCCATGCACAATCTTCAGCTTTTGGGGAACTATTTTTATAATTACATGCATGTCAACGCATGACATATTAAGTAAAAAAAATTGGGCCCAAGCCCCAAGGCGACAATAATATCGTACCAAGACCTTTTTTTTGAGATTATCATACCAAGACTAAATATTCTAACTTAAAAAAAAAGAATAAATATTCTGAGATCGATTAGGCAGCCGTCGTACCGACCCTGGATGTACGCACGCTTTTCTAATCCGCTGGCGCCACTTTCGTCCATTTCACTGAATGAAACAATTTATCGTAGCTCATGCTCTATAAATAGCATGCTCAAGTCCTAACTCAACACAACAGCAACAAGAACACGGGGTCACGAGCTGCTAACTCCACACCGCACCTCAGCCAGCTGCAGCTTAAGCTCAGTGAGGGTTGCACTGACAAAAATGCAAGGCCTGGCGGCATCTTGCAAGATCGTGCTCGTGATGTTTCTGCTCGGCTTAGGCTTGGCAGGAGCAACCGCCGACAGCCGGAGGAGGGTCGTCTCCAGCAGCCCCGACGAGCCGTGCAAGAAGATGACGCTCTACCTCCACGACATCCTCTACAACGGCGTCAACAACACCGCCAACGCGACGGCGGCGCCGGTGACCAAGCCGACGGACCTGAGCACGTCGCACTGGAGCAACGGCACCTTCTTCGGCATGCTGGTGGTGTTCGACGACCTGGTCACGGAGGGTACGGCGCTGCCGGTCGGCGACAAGGAGCCGGCGGCGCGCGCGCAGGCCTTCTACTTCTACGACAAGAAGGAGTCGTACAACGCGTGGTTCACCTTCTCCCTCGTGTTCGACTCCAAGGCGTACAAGGGCACCCTCAACCTCATGGGCGCCGACCTCATGGACGACGAGACGCGCGACCTCTCCATCGTCGGCGGTACCGGCGACTTCTTCATGGCGCGTGGCATCGCGACGATTCGCACGGACGCCACTGAGGGCTACTTCTACTTCCGCCTCAAGATGGACATCAAGCTCTATGAGTGCTACGTCTGATGATCTGACAGGTTATCAAGAATTCAAGATGGTCATAACACGCACGTACGCGTGTACCTATCAGTACTGAAGGGTGATGTGCCGTTGTTGTTTTTGCTTGCGTGATGAGTTGCATGCATGGGCATGTGGATTGTGTGTCATTCGTGTATGTTGTATGCCCATAAGAGTTTTAATTGTATGGTGCTTTTATTCTGTTCATTTATGAATTTGTTTTTTTTGCGGGAATTTATGAATTTGTTTTGCGGGGTTATGAAAATCTATTTGTATGTTCAAGTATTTTTTATTTTATTTTTTGAAAAGGGGGACAAACCCCAGCCTTTGCATCTGCATCAGCTCATGCACACAACCATTTATATCTATATCTATACCTACTCATAATACTAATACTATATTAATACTAATTTAATATTAATACTATATTAATTAATAATTAATAATATTAATACTGATGCTATTACAATTTTTAATTTTTAATAATAAAGTAAGGTGTGTTTCTTCAATTGTTTCATCTGTTCACCAACTCTTTTATTTTATGAGATTCTTTACTATCCGAGGTTGTACTATTTTAATAATTTCAATTTTGTTATTGGGCTCTGAAAAATTTGTTCGGTGCTGATATTGGGCCATATTTATGTTACTGGGCTCAGATAAAATAATCGGTGTTGCCTCAAGAAAACTGCTATTAAATAAATTCTATGAGGTAGAAAATTAAAAGAGGGAACAAATTCGGCAGGAAAGAAAGGAATTATAGAAGAAGGAAATAAGAGCATCTCCGGCCGTTGCCCCCCCAGGAGGCTCGAAAAATCGCCGCTGGGAGCGAACCGGTGGTAAAATCGGCCTGGGGGCGATGGGGTTCCCAGCCGATGCCCAAGGTCGGCCCCAAGCGCATGTTTTTAAAAAAATTGAACATTTATTTGACTAAAATTCGACGAACAGGACAAATATTTCGGCGAAACAGTGCATTACTTCGGCGAACTGAAATAGTTTCTTACGTAGATAAAATACTTAAAAAGTAAACGCGACTACAGGCCGAATAAGGTGCTGAGAGAGGCGAAGTCGGTGCCGTCGCCACCGCCGTCGTCGTTGTCCTCGTCGTCCTTCTCCTCCTTCACGCGGCCGCCCATGCTGGATCCCTGCCCGGCATTGCTCTGGCGGACCGGTGGTGGCGGCGCGTCGTCATCGCTGTAGTCGAGGATGACGACGCCTCCCTCGTCCCGGCCACGGTGCCGAGCTTCGAACCGCTCGTAGGCGAGGCGCTGGCGCTCCAGCTCCGTCCGCGCCTAGTTGTTGCGCGCCCACTTCAAGGCCGTTGTGTTGTCGAGCTCCTCCTTGACGCCGCCGGCGAGCCCTGGCTCCATCTTCACGATGGCGCGCCCCGGCTCCGTCTTCACGGCGGCGAGCCCCGGCTTTGTCTTCAGTTTGACGTAGCGCGGAGGAGCTGAGGAGGAGGCGCGCCTGCCGTCCTCATTGATGACGATGCCGGCGCTGCGGGTGCGCTGGCCGAGCGGTGTCTCCGCTGCGGCAGGGCCGACCCTGTGTTTTGGGAGGCCCTAGGCGAACTCGACGACATGGGCCCCTATGTCGTAAGATCATATATATGTATGTGTGCGTGTGATACATAAACATATATATAAGAGTAATCTTTTAACCACACATCTTTAATTTGAAATTTGACTATTATAATTATTGGACAATGCCATATTACGACAGAAATACTCAAAAGATAGCAAAACAAAACTAAAATGACATGATTACCTCAAAAAAGAAACAAATTCGACTCACTCCATTGACAACAATAATACTCCATTGCTTCAAAAAAGGTTTCTTCAGGCGTTTCTTGATGCAAAGTCATTAAGGGCACTATCAAGATCAACATCAGATGAGTTATCATCCGAAAAAGCTTCTTAGGCAACGTAGCATGCTGTGTCCTAAAATTATATAAAAGTAAAGAGTATACAAAGAATTAGAAATTTATAGATCGGATAATCGAAACCCTAGATATGGACATAGAATGACTAAAGATTAGGATGGTTGAATGTATACTATGTAGAAGAGTATACATAAAAATTTTGAAACTTCAGATGGATAGTTGAATACCTAGTAAAAAAACTACTCAAATTGAGGGATCGATGAATGAATCAGGAGTCGTGGATATGTACTTTCCTGAGTCCTCACGCTCACATACGTATAACGTATTAACCTATTACCGGATGGCCGGGTTGCCGGCACGGCCGCACAGCGCAACAACAGTCTGCCGGACTGCCCGCGCGTAGCAGCGACAACAAGCGGCCAAGGTGCTTCGACGGGCCGACGATACGAGGAAAGATGAATCGACGATTGAAGGCACAAGCCAGATCTTCCGATTGATTTGTTTCACATGTATACGCGTGCGTTGTGCGGCCGTCGTGGCTGATGCTTCGCTAATCTCTACCTAGCTACCTTTTTTTTAACTTTCTACCTAGCTACCTGACGGGCCGAGCACATCTCATTTATTTTTCCACACAATTTTTTCCTTATCTATTTTTTTGCTTATACTCTATATGTATACACATCATGGGCCCCCCTTCGGCCTGGGCCCTGGGCCGCCGCCCCTCTGCCCATGCCCCAGGGCCGGCCCTGCATTGCGGGCTTGGCCTTGACGCCGAACACCGCCGGCGAGCCGGAGGAGTGGGAAGAGGAGCAGGAGGAGGAGTGAGAGGAGGAAGACAAGGAGGAGCCGAACCTCCTAGGCATCCGTTGCCCGGCGCTCCGGCGAGGGACCGGGGCGGCGGCCACGGCAGGGTATGCCAGCGGCGGGTCATTGCCCACTCGAGGTACTGGAGTACCTCGTGGAGCGTGCGGCCGGGGGCGTCCCACCATAGGCGGCGCCCCTAGCTGTTTTGGACGCCCCCACCACCGGTGCCCCGTTGGTGGACGCCCGCCGCTACGCCTACCGGCGTTGGAAGTACGCCGTCCACGACGCGTGGTTGTCGGCGGCGTACCGCGGGAGGGCGCGCTGCTCCTCCGGCAGCGACGCCCGCACACGGTCAACCTCGGCGGCGAAGAGGTCGGGATGCGCGTCGACATCGGGCACCGGAGGAATCGGGACTCCGCCGGCGCTGAGTCTCCACCACGGCGGCCCGGGGCGCATGTCCGGTGGCGCCGAGACGTTCGCCTCGAAGAAGAGATAGGCCTCCCACTCGTGGAGCGAGAGGCGGGCGAAGCCGTTGGCCGCCGCCCCGTCGGCGGGGAACCGCTCGGCCATCGGGTGGGCTTGGGGAGAGAGGGAGGGGGAAGGTTGGCGGTGGCTGCGCACGGGGAGAGGCGGAGCTCGGCGTCGGCTGTGGGCGGGTGTGGCCAAAGGTGAGGGGAGGCCCTGCTTTTATAGCCGCGCGCCATGGGTACGCGTGGCGGGAAGGGAGGCGTCGCCGCACCGCCCGTGAAGCGCCCCCCCATGGGGAATCCAATGGCAAGGCTGATCGACGACAGCCTTGTCATTGATTCCACGCGGGAAATCGAGGCGTTGTGAGGACGACGAGGCGAGTGTCGCTGACTCGGCGGGCCTGCAGCTCTTTCACGCTAAAACCGCTCGCCCCGGCGCCCCCTAGCGCGCCGGGTTCGGCTTGGGTCCGCAGGCGCCAGTTTCGCCCCAAACCGGTGAAAAACGGTCTCCTGTGACGCGACTGGACCTTTTTTTGGTGCCGACGTGGAAAAACTGGCTGGAGGGGCCTGTTGGGTGCGCGGCTGGAGATGCTTTAAGGATTGATTACATTTTCCGTAAAGAGATAGACAGGTGACCACCATCAACAATGAGGAGAAATGACAACACAGATGACTTGTTAGGGATGAGCTAGTTCATTTCTTCTATTGCAACACACGAGCATCTTTGGTAGTTATATCCTAAAATGCATTACTGAACATTAAGAGTTGTCAAATAGTCGGGTTTTTCCAAAGATCGTGCGTCTAGTTTTGGAAAAGCACGGGACCTAGTTGGTTGCTTATTTTGCAAGTATAAGATGCTGTGGCAGCCTGGGTCGATCAACAGTGTGTAGCTACCACGGATAGGGCACTCTGTAGGACTACAGTGCATGAGTTTCTCGATGCGGCTGAGGCAAACAAGCAGAATGGTTTTATGTGTTATCCATGCACTGAATGTGGGAATACGAGGTCTTACGCTAACCGGAAAATCCTTCACTCCCACCTGCTTTACAAGGGTTTCATGCCACACTATAATGTTTGGACGAGGCACGGAGAAATAGGGGTTATGATGGAAGACGGCGAAGAAGAAGAGTAGGATGACAACTATGTGCCCCCTGAATATGGTGATGCTGCAACGGGGGGAGCTGGTGAAGATCAAGAGGAACCAGACGATGTGCCCAATGATGCTGCAACGGGTGAAGCTGCTGAAGATCAAGAGAAACCAGATGATGTGCCCGATGATGATGATCTCCGCCGGGTCATTGTCGATGCAAGGACGCAATGCGAAAGTCAAAAGGATAAGCTGAAGTTCGATCGCATGTTAGAGGATCACAAAAAAGAGTTATACCCCAATTGCGAAGATGGCAACACAAAGCTCGGTACCGTACTAGAATTGTTGCAGTGGAAGGCAGAGAATGCTGTGGCTGACAAAGGATTTGAGAAGCTACTGAAAATATTGAAGAAGAAGCTTCCAAAGGATAACGAATTGCCTGACAGTACATACGCAGCAAAGAAGGTCGCATGCCCTCTAGGATTGGAGGTGGAGAAGATACATGCATGCCCTAATGACTGCATCCTCTACCGCGGTGCATACAAGGATCTGAACGCATGCCCGGTATGCGGTGCATTGTGGTATAAGATCAGACGAGATGACCCTGGTGATGTTGACGGCAAGCCCCCCAGGAAGAGGGTTCCTGTGAAGGTGATGTGGTATGCTCCTATAATACCACGGTTGAAACGTCTGTTCAGAAACGAAGAGCATGCCAAGTTGATGCGATGGCATAGTGAGAACCGAAAGAAAGATGGGAAGTTGAGAGCACCCG